TCACTTTATGAACATTTGTGGAAATCACTTTGAGCTTCCTGTATTTATTTGACTGTATATTATGTTGATTCAAAGCTAATTGATGTAAAAAGGGATATCATGCGTAGGTATAAAAGCTCTTGAAAAACTTGTGGCATTTCCATGAATGAGTTGTGTACAATTTTTGAAGGCACTCGATCGTGATCAAGAGAATATTTTAGCGAACTCTGAAGAAGTACTTTCCAACCTAGAAATCGTCCATATAAAACATAATTTTCCAACGGGTACCTACCTGAATAGAATTATTGAAAATGAATACCAATTTTCAAATAATTTGATCAATTGTTTATTCCACAGTATACCTATTTGATGATGGTTACTCGGAATATGCTATTGAATGAATCCAAACTATTAATCTAGTGATATTAACACTTCGCTTTTTTCCAGATGTACTCACATTATGTTTCTTCCATTTATATTTACGTAGCTTAACTTGGTTGTAAGATATCCATAGATTTTCAATCGATTTTTTGTATATTAGTCTTGCCTACTTGATAAATATTATTTTTATCGTATGTATACACGGTCACACCAAAGTGCACCTGAACTTTCTGATTTGGATAGAGACACCCAGTATATTATTCCATATTCAAGTAGAGCTCATTATTACAAATTTACCAATATACCGGGTTTGATGGGATATTTTCAAACGGCTACTAAGATATAGTCAAAGAACTAATCCAAAAATGAAATTGGAAGAAATATGGACCTGTGAATACTCATATCTAATACAATACAATACAATACAATATTTTATTCATCCCAAATAGATCATTTTACAATGATATAGGATATGTCATAAAAATTTATACAGGTATCAATACAAAATACAATATATAACACATATGAAACGTTCACTTTTGTAGATATGTAAAGAAAAATTGAAGAAAGGAATAAAGTGGGAACATTATATAACACAAGATCACAAACAATAAAAACATTTTAAAATTTATAATTGAGGAATTCATCGGTTGAATAAAAACCCTCAGAGGATAGTAATGTCTTGACTCTTCTTTTGAAAAGGTGGAGTGAAGTTATTGTTTTGATTTCGGTAGGCAGACAGTTGAAATACCTTATACCAGAAAATGAAGGTGATTTTTTAATAATACAGTAATGACTTTGAAGTGCTGAAAAATGTAATTCTGGCCCGTATCGACACGGGGAAGTGATGGAAGAAATGTAAGAGGAAATCACAATTTTTTATCAATTGAATCGTTTCAGTTTATGCCATCCTATAGTAGTCAAAAAATCACATCAAACACGGTATTTTTAATATGGAATATTATACTGGGTGTCCCTATTCGAATAAGAAAGTTCTGGTGCATCTTGGTGTGCCCCTGTATACATACGATTGATTCAATAGCATACTTCCAGTTAGCATCATTAAATATACTGAGTGACCAAAAATTTAAAGTCGTTCGATCGCGCGGTTGATTGTTCACAGGTAGGGAAATTTTAGCTGGGACACGGTGTATGTATAGTTACATTCCGTTTCATTCAAAGGAGGACCAACTTAATGTAAGTAAACCTTGTGACTAACACTATGAATACATTATGCATGATCTTCATAATGTTCCGCTACCTAATTCCCTATGATTCTGCCACAATAAGATTGGGAGATTGTTAAGCAGCTCAGACTACTGAATACCCCTACCCGGAGGTGTAGCTGCTTTAATAATGCCGTATTCCTTCCCTTAACAGGTATCAGACTAGGGTGTTTTATTAATGAAGGTAATTGGATAATCTTAGACATGAGATATACGAGGATCAAGTTTGCTTGGTCTCTGGCCTTGATGGAATTCATCACATTGTTCTCAAAAAAGTGCACCAAGATTGAAACCGATTCTCTTCAAGTTATTTACCATCTGGTGCGAGTCGGGTGTTTCTCTTTCTCCATCGTGCTGATGGGAAATAGTTAACCAATCCCCAAAAAAAGAAAAAACCTACCCAACAACTATAGTCCTATTGTCCTGTTATCAGTTATCACCAAAGTGATGTAGGAAACCTAAATATCTTGAAAGCTTAGGAATCATCAATGATAGAGAATATGGCTTTCGCCACCGGAGATCAACTGGAGATTTACTTGCCTACGACACCCATATACACAGGGTGTCCCATTATAAGGTCGGTGATGTACGATATTATGGAAACCATAGATTTGGAAACCATTGACCTTCCAGCTTCGGCAAAAAATCTATCGCCGATGAGAAATTGTTTCAAGATATTTTCAAGTTTCTAAAATGCCGATAGGGGTCGAAGTTACTGATATACAACGAGAAATTCGAATTATCTCAGAAAATCGCTGTGTAAGGTAATTCTTTGATAACGGGAATATAAGGATCATTAATTTATCGTTTTGTCGGTCTCCATATTTTTGTCGGATCTTGAATTATTGTAATGGTGGGGAGAGCTTGTGATCAATATATTTCTTCAAATTGCTGTATCTCAATCAACTTGGGCTCGTTTGAAATATAATTTCATACCTATTCAAAAACTATCTTTGTTTACGGTCGCTAGTTCATGCCGCGGCTTATAGAGGGCGTCGTTCACCGACTATACGATTTTTTCTGGATTTTCTCAAAAGATTGGAACAAAATGAAACTTGTTTGCATCATTGATCGTAAAGAGCATGATAACACCTACATTTTGGCGCAAACCGCAATTCGATATCTTTATTTGTCTTCGAGTTGAACTGAAAAATGCCTGAGTCCATAATTGGCCTTTTGTACTACAATTTCGAATGACACCCTGTGATTTTTTTAATTTCCCAATTTTTCATTGGGATCACTAATTCCATGCACTATGAATTTTTCAAAAACTGTGTGACGATCCTAGTATTGAGTATTGGTTTGAAAAATGACAACAAATTAGAATGATGTATTGTATTTCAGTGTTGCAGGAAAACAAAAATAATAGCAGTCACCTGTTTATATAAGCTGTAGGCAGTGAAAATGAAATAGATTGTGGAAGTAAAATATGGCAAAGATTTGAGTTATGTTAACTCCTCAATCTACTGTCTTGTATTTCTCTTGAGACATTGGAAAGCTTTGTCCTTCAAAACAGTATTTTTTGAGAACAGAAAAAAAAGTTGTGGATGAACTACCACTTTTATATTGTGTAAGTTTTTTAATAAGAGAAAAATCAGTCGAGTTTTACGGTCGAAATCTTTGATGTTGATGGAACGATTTGAACTAAATTCTTGAAATTCTAATAGAACAAAAAATATTAATATTATTCATTTTTATTGTTTAGTTCATAATGTTTACTTTTCTATTTCTTGCAGTAGACAGGTCTGTATTGTAGAATATACAGCCTTTGTCTAAAGCAATTACTGAAGAAGCAAAGTACATATTTAGATTCATGACAATTATTTCTGGTGCTCAATATACAATGTATGGTATTTACTTCTCTATTCGAATCAGGTTTCTATAAACCATCGGAGGCACTATTGTCGTCCCACCCTGGGGTGTATATTGTGTGTAATAATGGAGTTGATTGAAAAATGGGACAATAAGTGTGCCATATATTACATTCGATCACTATTTTTAGCCTACTCCCACCTATTCAATATTTAAATTGGATATTGTTGATTCCTGTAACAATGAAATCACTTTTAGGCTATAATATCAAATTCAGTTTTGGGCTCTGTCAAGTCTTGAACCACTATTCGCAAATGGGTGAAATACTATAAGTTTGAAGTGTCAATTATCTCAGTCCAACGGGTATACATATTTTCGTTTTTACAAATATACAACTTTTCATTAATGCTTGTGGTTCAACTGTTGACAGAGTACAGGGTTAGATCGATAAAAATATGCCTCTACTATCAACTTATTCATACTGCAACAAAATAATGGGCACACTACGATAATTAATGTGTGCGCTGAAAAAAACATTGCCTACATTATTTGGCAAACAAACGTTGAAATCGCGAAATAATGCTCAATGCTGACAGATATTTTAACCCTACGATAGATTCAATTCTCCACATTCAATAATATTCTACTTTACTTCTATTGAACAAATTTGAGCCTGAAAAAATAACAACTATTGTAAAGCCAAACATGGCTAACATTCAGTCAATAGCATCCTGATAAATTCAGGTTTATTATGGAAAATATCATAAAAATGTATCTCCTGTAATTATGAAGAGTGGGTTTCTTTCTCGCTCTGCGAATTTCAGAATCCGACCTCAATAATTATGAGAGATATGATACCCTTCTACCGTACTATGCATCCCACTGCAACATGGCGTGATATGCAAACAGATAATCAGAATTCTGAATTATTGTGGGTACTTACTAATGTGCCCATCAAGCACTAGATCATATCTTACCATTAGACTAGCCAGAAGCATCTACAAATTATTAGAATCCAAAACGAAGAAACTTACTTAGTTAACATGCATCGCGACGCAGGCGAGTGCAGAAGTAGTTGACGGAAAGTGGATGGAATATGCAAAAAAACACGTAAAGAAAAGTGTGGTGGTATTTTGGTACGAAAACAGCACGTAACGCAATATAGTCGACACGTAACGCAAAAAAGTCATCACGTAACGCAAAATAGATAGTACCTAGCACAAAATATGCGTCACGTAACGCAAAATAGTCGGCACTTACCGAAAAATAGTCAGGACGTAACTCAAAATAGTCAGCACGTAACGGGAAACTGTCAGCACGTAAGAAGAAACAATAAGAACAGTGAAACAGTCAGTACCTTACAGAGTTCTGGACGTAGATACAACGTAACTGTGATGAGTAATGAATCTTTCCTAATATTGTGTCTGAATTAAAGATGAAATTTGTGTACTCTGAATAGATTTGTGTCCAATGCCTATCTACGCGTTTTCATTACCATAATTATATCAAATGAACTACATTGTTTGTTCACGAGCTGTTTCGTACCAAAGCAGAAGAAGAGTTGATCGGTTTTTAAGAGATTGATACACTGATTGTTCTTACCGCCTGACATCTGTGGCTCTCCCAATTGGACGTAAAAAAGGACATCCTTCTCGTAGCTGTCCTCTTCGATGATCACCAAATTGATGCTTTTCCTGCAAAATCATTCAATGAGAAACAAATTAGAGAACGGAATCCTTTACAATTCAATTAGAATATTGAATTACATCAACCCGAATTCTAACAACGGATCCTATAAATGAATACTGTTTGTTAGTGTAATAGTTTGGGAGCTGGTTACCAAAATTTCTATATGATCAGCACAGATGGCAGGCAGATGTTAATTAATTATTAATAGCGATGATTATACCATAAGAAACATTGGGGCATTGACGGCACTTAGAAATTGTTCGAAAAAATGGGGTACTAATTCATTTGCACATGTCTGCTTCTGGGGCTGATGATTACCATCGTCCTGTAAATGAATGGTATCGAAGAGGCAGACATCCAGGGCTTTGACTTTTGTAGTAATTGATTTGTTAAGTTATTTTTATGATTTGAAGAAGTATAGGTATATGAAGTGAACACTAGGCAGACCTGAATTGTTCGATTAAAAATAATGAGAAAGATCACAGAAAAATGGTCTGCCAGCATGGTACCTCTGCATTGTCGATTGGCATCGCTAGGGTAGGTATGCTATTCCATGCGCACATGTCTGCTTCTTGGATTGATGTTTTGATTTCTTATAAAAACAAAGAAAATCGATGAGGACTCCTGGCCTCTGGTATTCCAAAGACAGACCATTTATATACAGTACAACCAAGATGAGGTTGCCGTGATAATGCAGAGCCCTGGATGTCTGCCTCTTCGATTTTCCTCGTTTTCAGAATGATTGTGACCATCAGCTCCAAAACCAGACATGTGCAATTGATTTAGTACCCACCTAGATGCCATGAATTTAAAAAAACTGTACAGATGAAGATCTGTGAGGAAAGTGTCTGCCGAATGTTTTTTCGTGTTCAAGGAATCATAATGAATCGAATGGGCGCAATTAGGACTAAATGCAAATGACTCAAACACGGCTCTGTTCTGAATTAAGCATTAGATATTATATCAAGGGGTATTACTATATTATTAAACAAGATGAAATTTGCACCTGTTGCAATATGCAGGTGTTAGAAACATTGGAACACATTTTTATTTCCTGTCCTATCTATGAATGTTTCCGACCACATGCACTCAAAACAATGAACAATCTGAACGATTTATGTACCTTCTTTGACTCCTTAGATTTACAGTGGGTGAAAATCATTTCCTCATATGTTAACAACATGCTAAGACTTAGGTCATTCATCTGGAATGAATAGTTTTTTTTTTCTTTTTTGTATGGGCTTATATTCACATTATGTTAGGTACCTTCATATTTATATTTAGCTAATGTATCTTTTTTTTTCTCTGTTAAACATTGTACAAAAATTAGTAGGATTATACTATAACCACTAGCAATTAGGAGAACACTACTATCATATTAAGTTACACTTATTATATTTTTTCTTCTGCCGCAAGCTAAACCCTTGCTATATGTATATATTTACATGGAAGCAATACAATATTTCTATTCTATTCTATTCTATTCTAAATGACTCAGTAGGCTGTTTTTACATTCGTTCAACCCCGTCTCGTGATAATGCAGAGCCCTGGATGTTTGCCTCTTTGATTTTCATCGTTTTCAGGATAATTGTGACCATCAGCTCCAAAGCCAGACATGTGCAAATTATTTCGTAGGTACACCCCTTTTGAAACAAATATCTCGGGAAATATTATTGAACAACAAGAACTATAAATCCCTAATAACAATGTTATGTTGATTAGCATTACGACGAGTCGGGAGTAGCCTCAGACCAGACAACTTTGGATTCCTCACATCCAGTTTATTATATGTTTGCACGTTCCTTATGAGATTCGAACTTACTGATTTAGTGATTCATTGATATAAAATGCTTTACTCGTGACTAGTGGTGACACTACTGACACTATTAAAAGTTTTGATTTGACTCGGCGGTTACTCCATGGAAATCCATGGCAAATGTAAAACCTCCACATACGATAAGATTACCACAAAATGTTGTGGAAATCTTATCGTTTATGGAGTTTTTACTATTGAAAGTATTGACATCTCAATATTGACGTATCGCAGATGCACCAACATGATTTTCAACCAGTCGGATGTGGAGTTCACAAAAACCAATTCTTCTTCTGAATAACTCTCATCAGGAAGCTGAGTAGACTACTACAATCAGATTCCACCAAAAGAAAGCTATTTGGGTAATCTAACTTCCAGAGTATTACTTCTACAATGGTAGAGGTTTTAGGTTGACAACTTGGAGCGAATTTCCCTATTGACTAGACCGAATCGATACGTATTGATCTCAACTTCAATCAATACCGATCCAACGATGTAAAACGTGTGCAAATCATATACCAAAATGGCAGCCAGTTCCTCAACTAAATATGATTGTCACAAAGAGAGAAACTCAAAGTCATTACCACAATACTTCATAAAATGAACGAACAAGGTAGATAACGAGAGAAAACCAAGTACGTTCCTGGCTATATGCCACGCAGAATATTGGATCACATCCACCCGAAATCTATGCATTAATAATTCGTGAATAAAATTGCATTCCTAAACGCCGAGCTGCGCCTAAGTGGTTCAGGACCACGTGACTACCTGCAGAACTGTTTTGAGCTGTTGGCTCTCATCAGTGCAAGGCTGTCCTAGATAGCATTCTTGACCGCTATCTGGTGCGAACCTGACCCAACGTAAACGCATCTCAGCGTTCATACCCCACGAGGCGTATTCGGCTTTTTTCTAGTTGGAAATAGGATTGTGTTTAAATTGATCTAGGAATGCCTGAAAATCTTCAGACCAGATAGTAATCCGAGAACCTCTGACTGAAACGATACCTGACCGAGCATGTATATGTCGGCGTCAAACAGTGAAATCCGTCATTCTCTGGAATGTCTAGTCATTTCACGTATTGCCGGCCATCAGCGTAACTCTAAATTTCATACACCGTTTGCCTAATAGTTCCAGGCAATCTCTGTAATGACGGAAGGAAGGTTCATTTAGGGTTAGTCAGCTGAGGTTGTTTCGAAGATGTAGTCTCTTCTGTTCTATCAAGTAATTTCCTGGAAAATATCCTTCCTAGGAAGAAGGTTCATTTAGGCGGAAAAATAGTCTCCCTTCTTATGTATATGCAGAATAGTAATTTACGTAACAAGTCTGGAGAATACTGGCGAGTCCTCGAAGTCTGCGAGTCCAGAAAAACTGTTTTTGGACGTGTTGCGTACACTATTTTTACGGCAACCATGTAGAATAACAAATCAATGAGACACATTTCCATATAATATTTTTTTGGAGAATACATTTTTTTCATTATCAATTCTCATTTGTATCAAATACTGAAATTTGAACAGAATACCTATACCTACTAACTGTTACATTAGAAATTTCGTATGGACATTTTCAAACTTACTATCGCAGCTGCTTTCGATAGTTTATTTCGATAATTGCAACCAAACTTTCAAAAATCAAAATGTCAAATAGGTGTCAGCCGATATTTAGCTGCTATGGTAATGTTCATCTGCATTCATCAAAACCATATGCACCACGATTTTCATAGTTACAGTGACAACAACGATGTGATACTTCCCGGTCTAGTCCGGGAAGTACAGGGTGATTCACCATAAATGTCCCTCCCTGTAGCTCACTTATTTTTTATCCGATTCAAAGATTTTGAAAATTATCTGAAATGATCTTTCAGAAACTTCTTTCCCGTTGCATCAGAAAAGACAGGGTGCTCGGAACAAACGATCTACAGAGTACTACTTGATTTTTCTTATTGGAAAACCCTGTATTTCATTGTATTATTAGATTCTCCCTGAAGAGCTGATTTCATCAATGCATCACACTTGGGGTCTAGCGGGAATGATTACAGAGATACAGTGTGGTTCAAGATTCAGAATTCCGATCACCATGCATCTGTTCCAATTATGATATGTCAGTAGATTGTAAAACAAAAGCTAAGATACGGACATGAAAGTCGTTTTAACCGATAATGAATAGTTTCGTCACAGAAAAATCCTAAAGTTGAAAAATCTCGATTTTGAACACCCTATATCTCTGTAATCATTTTCGCTAGACCCCGAGTGTGATGCATCGATGAAATCAGCTCTTCAGGGAGAATCTAAAAATACAATGAAAAATAGGGTGTTTCATTTGAAAAAATCAAATAGTACCCTGTAGATCGTTTGTTCCGAGCACCTTGTATTTTCTGATGTAGCAGAAAACAAACTCTATCGGAAATCATTTCAGATGATATTTAAAATTTTGCAATCGGTTCAAAAATAACTGAGCTAGAGGGGGGGACATTTATGGTGAATCACCCTGTACATACTTCCCGGACCAGGCCGGAAAAATCCTACCTTCTCATCGAAAAAGCTTCCGACAATACGTAAAATGAATAGGCATTTCAGGGAATGACGGATTTCACTAATTGACGTCGACATATACATTCTGAAGAAAAATACAGGAAATCCGGTCCTGTCGTCATCTTTATATTCAGTACACGCTGACCCTATTCGTCCGATGATAACTGGAAAATCGATGTTCACGGAAGTTGTCTTCGGAAATCGAATTGCCTTCTCCGTATGCCTATCAGCCAGAAGACTGTCTGAAATATGCTCCATCTCCGGTTCATATCGAAATTCGATTAAATAGCCAGCGTAAGATGGGAAAATTGCACGTAATGTGATCGGAAGGGCTGTGCGATACGGATCGATCCATCAAAACTTCCTGATGAAAAGAATAAGTTCCAAGTCATTTCTAAAAATGTTCAAATAAATAGTAGTTCGGAAAACTAGAAAAACTCGTTTTCATCCTTCTTATAGATAGCCAAACTGAAAAAAGTTGAATAGTTATCTATATACTGACGTAGTTGAGAATATCATTATTACCAAAGTACCAAGATTATATCCTGAATCTTAACCAAGGGGTATAAGGTCCCGTCGTAATAATATTCTTCTTCTACAAGCGTTTGTGATTCGCCCTATACACCGATACAACAAGGCCAGCAGACTCTGACGTAAACAG